TTCTTGCAGTATGAAAGTTCTACCAGCATCAGTCTTCAGAGTCATCTTCAGAAGCTGTTGGAACAACACAGTGTAATCAGAAGCCTTGACAAAAATGTGTGAAAAACTAAAGCACTTTAGGACGAATAGAAGAAATAAGTGATTTTATAATAATAAATAGCAGATTGCAATACCCACCCAAACCTTGAGTAATCACATAACTTAATTCTTAAATGCATCTCATGTCCTAAAAATGCAGCATTTTCAAATCAAAACTCAACAGAACATACAATATGCTGTGTCCTCCTACTCTCCTTCCTCAAAATAAGAGGGAGAAAACTTAATTAAGCCAGAGATTCAACTTTTATGTAGTGCTTAGCATGGCTAATTCCAGCAGTAGTCAGAGGAGGATATACTCAATCCATGACAGCAGCACCCAACCTAAGTTAAAACTAAGTTAACAATTTGGATACTAAAATACCTAGCATGATCCAGCAGTGTAAACAGACTCTTACATTTTTTATATATATATACATATCTTAATGCAACCTGGGCCTACTTGGAAGAAGCTCCTCTCTACACTCCAGTCCTTTCAGCATATGCAAGATGAACACAACGCCCGCATATGCACAGGATTTGTCGTTGCAAGGTGAGTCAAAAGACAAATATACACTTGTCAACTACGGTAGAAAAGCCTATGCACACATCTACATTAGGTTTGTAACATGTTAGCCTCTCTGTAACAGGAATTTAATGTGTCCTCTTAAGCCAGGTCTGCAGACAAGAAAGTATTTATAGTGGAGTAACATGTTCCATCCCTGAACACAGAAAGAAGAAAAGAAAGAAGAAAAGTCTGACTCCTTACTTCTTCAGTTCTTAGAAGAGAAATGTAACTGAAGCGCATCAATAATAAATCTAGAACTCAGTATTCCTCACCTGCAAGTTAAAGCCCGAATCAAATACAGATTGAACTAAGGAGTTAAATGACACTCATTAATTAATTTTTCCTCTAGTAAGGATGCACATAACTTAGGAACCAATTCATAACTCAAGTCTACTTTTGACCGCTCTGAATGCAGAAATAATAACCTTGAACCAGAACTCCCACTTTCACACACACACACACACTCCCTTTCTTTATAATATTCCAAATGCATCCTGTGTACTGAAAACCACATGAAGTTGACAGACACATGCACACTACGAAAAAAAGGGTAGACCAACTACCCTTCTACTGCCTATTCAACATGCTCAGAAATAGAGCCAGAGTACATTTACCAGAAATTTAGATGTATCAGCATATAGTTTTAAATCTAAACACATTAAAAAAAAAGCCATTAGATGAAAAGTAGGCTAATCCTTTGGTTTGCCAAAATTGGCAACCTTCTGACTTCATTCAAGAGGTCTGATAGATCTGATCAAGGAACCCACACAACCAAAAAGTGTGTATGAATGGAAAAAACAAAGGGGAGAAGAAGGCAAGAAAAACAAAGAGAAGAAAACTGACAATACAAGTGTCTAATTTAAATACAGTAATTCAATTCAATTACTAAAATTCAATTCTAAATGTTTCCTTCATACTACTTTTTTTCCTACTTTCTCTTGTAAAACACAGCAACCTGAAGGTCACCATTTATCCTGTAATTATGAATTACCAGAACTACAATAACCAAACTGTAACTACTAAGGAATTTTGTTATCGATTCCAGATAACACTACTGTGGTCTAAACAACTCAGTGCTGTTGGGAAGTTAATAATGGAGAATTAAATTGGTTCCTCCTCAGAATAATTCTACTGATGATGGAAAAAGCACTGCTGAGTAAGGTTTTCGGTAATCATGTTCAGTATTATGAATCTTGGCAAGGAGGATTGTACTCATTAGCTTTGAGTTGATCTAGTGGGAGGGGAGGAAAAGAGGGGAAGCACCTACTTTCAATATCTTCCATATGTGCCTGAAGAGTTCTTGCAAGGTTAATAAACTAGAAACAAGGCAGAGAGAAAGTAGTTTAAAAGTTGCAAAGTTATCTGCAGAAATTTGCAACAAGTTAGCAAATTTTTCTTCACTTTTTACATCCCAAAGCTTCATGACAGATCTTGGTTACCTAACCCATTTGCCCAACTTCCAAAAAACAATGTGAAATTTAACATAAATCCCCACACACTAGGCTTCAAATTGCTATTACACAGTTATTTCAGTTGCAAAATGTTCGTGGTAGCAACTTGTGACATCATCTTCATGTTCTACAGTCTGTAGAACACATCGATTTTGAAAGCAGCCAACATAAACAAGTGTCAGTCCAATGAAAACCATTCCTAGAAACTCTGATGCAGAAAAACAATCACAGTAAGGACTTGCATTAGTTAAATCCATTTCATATAATTCACAAGTAATATGACAAAACAGAACCCTCTAAATGAATGTGGTTCAGGAAAAAATCATAAATACACTTAAGTTCTTGTTTATAATTAAAATCTTAAAAGCATAATTACTATTGGGCACAGTGGTGGTTTGTTTTAAGAAACACATGGTATCAAAACCCAAAGCCAAAATTCCTACGATTAAAAAGTCTCAGCCAAGTGGTTTTCGTCACTGCCAATCTGCATCACTGCTTCAGTTAAAAGCCCAGATACTGAGACACAGCAGATAAGAGTTTCCACAGCTTACTCATATGCCTGATATAAAATACTAGCATTGATGCTCTCACTAGTTTAAAATGCAGTATCACACACAGAAGTATGTAATGCCTCCTCTGATGGGAAACCAGTAAAAACATATTCTGCAATACACTCAAGCTAACAATCTGTGCTGGATGCTGACTACAATGATATCATGTGTCTTTTATATCTCTACACTTGCAGCACAGAAACTGGAGCATGGAATACAAGCCATATGTTGGATCTGTAGAGGAAAGAGGAGCATGCTCTAATACATTAAAAGATTAGGTAGAGCACAGTCCTGCCTCTTCCAAATATCTACTACCTGCTAGCAGTCAACCATTCCCATATGCACAGGAAAAAGTTAATACTGTCACTCCTTTGTAAGAAAAAAACCCTAAAAATAACTGGCTTTTCAGGAGCTCAGTTGACTAAGAGCACTGATTAATTATCTAGTGTCAAATAAACATGTAGCAAACTGGATTTATGAGTGAATCACTGTGCAGAAAGAACTCTGTATGCTGATCTCTTATTGGTTAAAGGTGTACTTAACACGTCCCTAAGCTGGACCTTCCAAGCAACAAGAATGCAGTCAAACGCACCTAATAAAGGGTTTGGACTAATGCCAGAGAACTCACACTACAGCTATAGGCTGCTGCAGAATGTTAATATTCAAGTACACATTTAGATGCACTCTGGCCAACAAGCGCTAGTCTAGTGCACTAGACAAGCACTCTAGTCCTTTGCAATATAGACTTGCATAATGAGGAAAATTAAACAAATCAGGTACTCCAGCATTCTTAACCGCATGTTTGGCACAGAGAGAGGTTTTGCATAAATTCACAATAATCACGACAACATGTATGCTAACTGTATGCTCTGTGCTAAATGTGTGCTAACTAATGAATTACGGACAACTTTGACAAAAAGTATTCTGCAGCAGAGTACCTGCAATTATGTAGCACCTTCAGCTTCCAATCAAACACAGCACACTGACAAGCACAGCCCATTTTAAACCTAAATCTGTTTTAAAAGTGTGTTTCTTGGGTATCTAGCTCCTAGGTCACTTAATGTAACAATCTGCTTCCAAATTCTCTGTATGAGTAATTCCTGCCAGAAAATCACTGCATACTTACTCTGACACGTGTGCTGGCCTCATTTGCAGTTCCTAACATATCAGAAAAGCGCTGCTCGCATAAGTGTAACAACACTACAAGGTAGAGACCAGAGCTGATAAATTCATAGTCTGCCTTAAAGGAGATCAAAAGAAACATTCAGAATGTCAGTAATACATCTGCATATATTATTCAAGTAGAACAACAATTAGATTTTTAATGAAATCATTACAGAGTTATCTCTAGTTGTTCAAAAGAATTAGGAAAATGTAATACTAAAAAATTTAAGTTGCTGAAAAGCTATTTATACCTCTGGTCCTTCCCATCCACACCAAAATTAACATGTTATCCTTGAAGATAAATAGAGTTCTACAAATTAGATCGGTCAGCCTGATTAATTCAGAGGAAAGAATGTGCGAATCAGAGTATTATATCACTTGGGGAAATCACACCAGGATTGCTGGTTTCTTCTCTGTGGTCTCAAGGCTTTACAGAAAGCCAAAATAAAGGAATATATTTTAAGAATGTTATGATGCTATAAATATTTGAGAAATTCCTTTACCTGCTAAGATAAAAGAAAAAATTTAAAAATGCTACTGCTGAACGGATAATTTAGTCAATTCTTTAAGAAAAAAATTCAAAGTTCTTATTTCTATTAAAGAGCAGTGACAGCAACCAATAAGCACTAGCACTAAAACAAGATGTCTTGAGAAAAACTTTTCAGAGACTTCCTCGATTGATAGGAATTCAAGTACTAGGGTAAGAACTTACTTTAAATAATAAAAAAATTAGAGGCTCATGTTTTGCCCCAAAATTGATGTCACTTGGCACGGATTCTTACAACTTAGTATTTTCTTTAAATATTTGAGGTAAGCTAATAGCATTAATCTTCATATATTATCAGATTACAACCCAGAGAATAGCGAAAACCCCTCTGAATAAAGTTCATTAAAAACAACAGCTTTGTGTTACTTACTCTTTTTTAAATACTACACAATCCAGTGGGTCAAAGATATTCTATTTTAAATAACAAAAGTTATACCAGGGGCCTTTGATTATTTTTAAGTTAGGAAATTATTTGAAGGAGCAGTTAGAAACTGCTAGAACAGAGGTTAGTTTCTACCACTCTAATGAAATAAAAGAAATCTGCAATTGTATGTTTAAAACAACTGCTAAACTGTGTTCAAAACAAGCTAAAAGTGACAACAATGCCTGACTATGAAATTCAATATAATCATGCTAGAATTCACACTGCACCTATATGGCACGGACACTGGATTACAAAGCTAGATGACAGATATGCAACTAAGGAAAGAGATACGTTACACTTACTGAAAGCTGAGCTGTAGGAAGCATAGCAGGAAGGTAGTGGTAATTGGAATATTGAGGAGAAAAATCTGTTCCACATTAACATTACTTTATATGCATAACAGCCCTTCTGAAATGGAGATGCATTTGGCTTCTCTAAAGACTGCCCTCCCAGCACTAAAGCAACACTTACCAAATAAGGTAAAATATACTAACTTGTTCATTTGCATGTGCCCTATAAAGCTCATGAATGTCAAAGTCTTCCAGATTGAGATGCAACTTCTCTTTGCACAATTCACAAGTTGTCACTGCTTCCAAAGAAGAACCTGGTGGGGTGGTGGGCAAGAGGAAAACTCAGTGTCAAGTTTCAACAGTCTATAACATACAACACACTCATATAAACATTAAAAACTCTACGTAATTTTTGACTTTATTTTGCAGAGCAAGGTTAGAAGAAAAGCAAGCCTCTAATAGGAATGTAGTGACATCTGCTACTGTCAGAATTTAAACGCTGTAGAACGTTTATTCTCTATCCAGCTGCACCTATTTTGCCTCACATTCACACTGGGAATTAATATGCTTCTTCCTGCAAGTATGGCATAAAATCGCTTCTTGGGCTTTCTGAATTTTACTGTGTAATTCAAATACACACAAAAATAAGAATAAATACGCCACAACAAAGTTATTGTTAAGTAACATTTTGTCTTAAGTACCAGTTTTAAAACAGACTCCTCCATAAGCAACAAGATGAACAAAGCAAGTTGATAGTGGACTTATGTCTTCATATATAGCTAAATAATTCAAATTATTTTTCTTCTACAAGCTGAGGCTTCTAAAACATCCCTTTACTGATCTCTGATGCTGACCAAAAAGGTCAGATACTAGCACCTTCCTTTGGTATAAAGTATTTCATGTACTCTATCAAGCCACCTACTTTTAAGAATACTGCAGGTAACAGTTACAAACCAGTCAATCAATCTGTTACAAAAATATTTCTACAGCATGCAATATCTGAAATGTTTCTTAAAGAATTACATATGCACTTTTAAGTAATTTTTGAACAAGCATTTTTAAAGTGCCTTGAATGGGAGTTAGTATCTTTAAGAAAAAATTAACATACTTTAGTTACAATTCAAAATAACTTCTGGATTTTCAAATTCCTATCACTGCTAACAGTTAGCTCAGCTATAGAAGTCTTGGAAAAAAGCACAACCATTTCCATAAGGAAGGGTGGGGAACAAATGCCACTCAAAGTGGTACCACTGAAGTGGCAGAGTAATTCTAAAGCTACACTTTTGCAATGTTATCTTTTGTTCAATATCTTAGTAGACAACCCCAAAAAATGCAGTTCTCTAAACAAAAACTACAGTTCTTGCAACTACTCACATGAGAAGCTGCACAGAACACAAAAAGCCTGGAAGTGCCATACTACTTGTTGTAGCAGTAGCAGTTTGTCCCCACTGTTTGCTTTTCAACTAAATACCCCAGTAGGTGCAATTCTCCCAATAAGCCTCCTGGTATAACTGGAAGTCTACCTTGGTCTAGAGTTTGCTTTACCTGAATTGATCTTCGACTGCAGCCATTTTTTCATGCACTCCTGGTGAACATACTGCAGACTTCCAGTGCATTTGCATGGCTCTATTAAAAGGTTGTCAGAACTTGAAGAGGACATCTGACAAATTCTGCATATGTCACCCTCTTCATCTTCAGAATCTTCTAAAAGCAGGCTGAATAGGATGGAATACCAACAAACGCTGTGACATTTCACGTAGGACTTTTTGAAGAAGGACTTTTTCAGAATTCCACTTATCAAACTGTTCTCAAATGCGTGAGAATTAAAACAAACTTCTTCAAAGACAAAAGTGAGAATACAACTGAGTTGCCACCTCCTCTACAAGAAAGTTTTCTTTTAAAATCATGATTGCAGAAAGCCCTCTCAGATTAGAACAGGTACATTTTACTGTTCCAAAAGAACATACTAACTTACCTTTCCTTTATTTTCTGGAGTCTTTCCGGATCTCTTGAAGGTGGTATTTTAGACTTGCCACTTTCTTGTCCGTCAGACTGATTCCAGCCAGAGGGAATAATATCTACAGTTATCATAAGATTGTCAGACAGACTGCTTCCTAATGTTGGAGGCACTGCAAAGCGAAAGAGAGAAGCAGGCAGAATTCCTGAGCCTCTTCCACTGGAGGCTGAATCTGGTGGGGAGGCAGTAGCTGTAGAAACAACAGATACTGCAGGCGCTGGTCTGCTCACAGAAGACCGAGGAGGGCTATCTGATGCTTCAAGAGAGGTGTCCTCACCTGACTCTCTCCTTCTAAAGATATGCTGTGATCTAGCAGTTGAATCAGGGGTAGAGATCCTTGCAGATTCATCTCTTCCTTCTCTTCTTCTTCTGGAAAAGAGAGGTGTACATCTGTTCCTCAAAGAGGACGACAACCAGGATCCTGTGCTCCTACTTTCAGTGTCTGGTCTGTAACTTTCCCCATCAGAATCAGAGCTGCGATTCTGTGAAACTCCTGATAAACCCCACCTTCGTCCAAGAAAACTGAACCCCTGAGAAGTTTCAGATGACTGAAGTCCTGGAACCCCCGGAGTTGCAGCTCCATTACTACTTGACAGAGCAGTAGCTTGAACTCTTGGGACCGCTGTTGACTCTTCAGGGCCTAACGATCTTGTATGCAATGGGTCTTGGCTAGACCTTCGAGAGAAAAATGTGGATGACATACTAGATGCTAAACGAGACAGCAGCTGTCTGGTTGTGCGCCTCCCTTCACTGTCAGCTGCAGACTCATTCAATGACCTCTGAGAAGATAAAATCCTTTCGGAACCACTTGAGGAAGGGGTTTCATCTCTAATGGCACTAAGAGAAAATGCTGGCTGCACACTCCTCTGGGGAGATTCCAATTCATTTCTCCTTTGTCTTAAAGAATAGCTGGATCTTGAAGAGCTCATGTTAGAGTCTCTGTTGAAAAAAGACGGCTGATGATCAGAAGGCAACTGGCGGTTCATGGGTGCATTCAGCCTCAAAGTGCTTAAGGAGTTTTCTTTTGGTCTTGCTCCCTCTGCATATGAAGAGGCAGGCCTGTCTTGAAGATCTGTTGCAGAAAAGCAAAGGAAAATACTATGATGATGCGCACATACACATCAGGAAACATTCAAGGTTAGGTTCAACAGGGCTCTAGGCAACCTGTCCTAAATGAAGATGTCCATGCTCACTGCAGGGGGATTGGACTAGGGGACTTTAGAGGTCCCTTCCAACCCATACCATTCTATCATTCTAACAAGAACATCTTCTGTAAATGCTGTCTGAGTATCTCAACACACTGAGAAGAACTCCACTGCAGATGAACCATAGTTCACATGAAGCAGCTGAGGTGGCTAGTGTCCTTCCTCAAATAGCTGCACTGGGTGCTTGTGGGCAGGAAAAGGGGGAAGAAGAAACAAGCATGGACAGATGAAGGTAGGAAACAGAAGCTCTCTATGTAGTCTCAATTTTAAAACTTTCATCTTTGCAGTTTTGGTGACTTGCTTTTAGTGGGTTCTGCACTGCAATCACAATTTACTGCTCAAGATGAGCTTTATTTATCTGGCAGATTCCAGCTAATGAAACATCTGCACAGATGCCAATCATCTACCATATGCTTTTGATTACACATCAGGGAACACAGCTGGGAGTTTTTTAGTAGCACTTAATAGGACCACTACTGCTAGAAATGCAGCATAGACAGTACAAAGCAAGGCTGCTCCCCAGTCCACTTCTCCCATAAGCCTCTATCAGGTAGAGTAGCTGAACTGTCCACTTACTAAAAAGTGCTATGAGTATAATGACATTAAAATATACTCTTCTGTCAAGGCAAGACTCCAGGACAAATGCTGAAAGTAGTTTTTAGCTTTTCTGCTTAGCTTCTATACTTAGAAACGTGGCATTTTCTTTAACTTCTGCATTACAAAATACAACTAATGCATCTGCAAAAGGTTCCAGATCAAAACTAATGGTGAGTTTCCCCTGACACAGCTCTAGAACATCACAGCACTCTGAACAGAAAGTGAAAACTATACTGCTGAAGTCCTTACTAGTCCTAGCAGCTGCCACGAGACAAACCTCTCATGTCAAGTCTGTGTTTATTCATTTTTATTCTCAGTGTCCTAACAGTTTTCCCTAATAACCATTTGAGAACCCAAACAAAATGAGATAATATGCACCTTTAAGAAAAAAGTTCCCTAGGTCAAATCAACATTATTTCTCTTCACATACCTAAATACAAAAAGATTTTAAGACAAATTTTAAGACAAATAAGAAATGAGCTTTACTGAGTAATCACAGAGTTACATCATCAACACCACAATGCATCTATACAAGCTAGACCATACATATATCCTTCAATGGTTTGGTCAACGCATGGGAAGTGGCCAACCAATTTTATTTAAAAGGATACTTAAAATCTATTTTGTGTTTGTGTTTTGAATAAAATGTTAAAAAAACCTGCCCAGAGAAGTTTTGGATGCTCCATCCCTGGAAATGTTCAAGACCACACTGGATAAGGCTTTAAGCAATCTGGGATAGTGGAAAGTTTCCCTGCCCATGGCAGGAGGTGGAACAAAAGGTGCCTTCCAAACCAAATCATTCTGTGGTCCAATGAACATGTTAAGAAACTAAAAGCCATACAAACTGTAGGTTTATGAGCTTTCAGTTACACGGAACATACATGTTGAAGGTGAAAAGTCACTGTTTCCATAGCTGGGATCCAGCAGGTTATTAACAGACAGATCTGTTCTTCTTTCTAACGATGTTCTCTCTCTAACCAGATCACTTCCAAGGGAGCCAAGCATTACTGATGAAGATCTAGGAATCCTACTGCATCTCCAGGAGGAATCTAGACAGAAAAAGTAAATAAATCCCCTGGTTTTGTAATCATCTAAAAATCATCTAAAATTAAAACTGGCACTTATACAGACATTTTCGCTATTCATATCAAGGGCAAGTTTAACATTACCACTAGGCTGACCAAGGACCCAGCTGCCAACATAAAGCTAAGTGCACTCTGCTGATGCAGGCACTTTTCATCTTGCAGAAAGTTGGCTCTGAAAGCTACATCAAGCAAAAAGTAGTAATACTTTTGTGAAGAGTCAGACCCATTAACACTATTACAAGATACAAGAGGAAGAGAAGTAGTATCTTGCTTCCTAATGGTAGCTAGTTTTTAAAAAGGTTTCACATTACAGCAAAACAGCAGCTTAAGACTTAGCAAATACTGCCATTCTACTTGACATTACTTAAATGAAATTTCATTTCTCATAAAAACAGCTGATGAAGCTTAAATGCAGTTTAGACACAACTTCAAGAACAATGACTAGCACTGTCCTTGTTCATATTACAGAGTAAAACACTTCAGCGTAAAAATGGGTCTTGGTTTTTGTTAACAGCTCCAACAACTGCATAGCAAGCTGTATATACATCAGCTGGGGACAAAACTCTAGTTCCAAAAGAGTCTTCAACAGCTCTGAAAAATTCACCTTGATACCACTTCATTGCTAACTTAGAAAAAGAAATTTAAGCACTCATTGGTCAGCAGTGTGACAACCAACCAACATAGAAATGGAAAGATAAACAGTCCTACACCATGAGAAATGTTAATGGTTGTCGTTTTATTAACAGAGTAAGAAAGTATCAATAATACTGAGGTTTGAGCAGGAATTTATTAATTTTTATTTGGATATCTATGCAATTCCATAAGGTTTATTAAAAAAACATTAATCCATACTCACAAGGGTAATCTGAATTAATTTAATGATCTTTATCAAAATGGTTTAGAAATATTTTTAGCATAAGGTTTTGGCTGTTACTTCCTGAGCTTTAGACTTCTGCTGGCATATTGCATAAATTCTGTCTATCCAAGTTTCATGAACTTACCCACAGCTTCAATGAAAATCTCAGGTTTTCCTGAAAGAGCTCCTAGAGAATGAGTTCAGGCCCTGCTAAAAAAGGAACACTTTCTTCCCCCACCCCTAACGACAGTGCTCTAACAAGCCATGAGGCAGTGCTTGAACATATTACTAAGTATGGTAAAAATTTCCTTTCTGCTGTCCCTGGCACACATTGATGTATCAACACTATCTGACTCATGAAATAAGAGCAGCTGCACTCATTCTTTTTTTGACATCCTAACCAATGAAGGTATGTTTGAGCTATGAAGTTCAGCCTGACCACAAATGGAACAGGTACAGGTAATAATTCTGAAATGCTATGAGCACAACTGCACTTTCAAAAGACCATGTAAACATCATACTCGGAACTTTGGACACTGTTATCATTGTGAACATACTTTTCAGACAGGCATAAATTTTCATTCATTAAGAAAGATAAGGGCATAATATTTGAAGCAAGTCTTTTAAAACTTGGTAAAACCTCATCTTACTACTCAGACAATTTTGATGTAACTCAGCTCAAGGAATCAACCACTCACCTGAAAAGGCAGCCAAGCCATTACTTCTCACAGAAGAGGTAGATGTACAAGATAGTTTAGGTCTCTTTGAATCACTATCTTGCTGCTGGCTATGCAATCTTGGACATGCTCCCATGTCCCACGCTCCCTGAGTTCTCTCAGACTCACCATAAGATCCAGATGTGAAATGAGAGGAAGATGTAGACTGAAATAACATTAAAATATAAATTACATAGTACATCAGATGCACTTACACTCCACAAAAGTGTACATAACGTAAAACTCACAAACATTGTAAAGAATAGCTTCAGATACAAAACCTTTTCTTTAAAAATAAAGTAGGAATTATGCTTGTGCTCTTGATTAGTATTTCTAGGTTTACTCAATACAGTCCTACCAACAAAACTCACTTTCTGGAACATTCAACATTTTATTTCCTTTCCAGATAGATGTGGCTTACAACAAAAAATTGTTGCAAAAAGGGGGAAAAATTATATTCCTGGCCTGTAAGATGCTATAAACACAATCAAATATAGCTTTACAGATCCCGAAGGGAACATATCTTGCTGTCCAAAATGGCCAAAACTTACTTTTTATCAACCCAAAATATAACTAGCTAAGGAGTGAGCTTCAGGAAAATTGTTTGAAACAAGTCTATTTTGATTACAACAAGCTCAAGCACAACTGAAGGACTTCAGAGTAAAGAACATGTATAAAGCAACTTTTGCAGTGTACAGCACCGAAATAAAACAGTTTTCAAAAATTAGCACTATAGGACCTAGAAAAAAAAAGCTTGGAATAGCCTACAAAGCTGTTTGTCTGGTTGCTTACAGTTAAGGCATTAATCTTCTATTTTAAATACTTCAGGGTTTTTTTTTTTCATATAAAAAAGAAAAAATTAAGCTTAATCAAAAAGCTGAATTGAGCTGTTTGTCTTCCCAGAAACTATCCACAACCAAGATCCTTTAAAAATCAACCAAATTAGAGTATGTAATATCTGTGGTTTATTTCTACTTAGTTATGGTTTTTAATAAGTTTAAGCCACAACTTCTTACTCTTTCACACTAAGAAGTCTTTTAAGTATTTCCCTCCTCTCACCATAAAAAAACAGGGAAACAAACCAACATTCAGAAACAAGTACAAAGCCAGAATACTTTCCCTTACTAATCTTCTATTTAACATATCACTTTTATTTTAATTATTTACTACTTGATATGTGGAATTTTCAGAGTATCTTCTGCAAGGTTCACTTGCATTAGAATTTACTTCAAGAGAATAATTAACCTTAATCGCAGAAAAAAGGGTTTTTACCTTGAAAACCATAGCACTAATTTAACTAGAAATGTAGACCACTTAGAAGTACAGACCATTTGCATTTAAACTACAGACAGACATCTACCATGACCTCCCCTGAAGGCCAACACATGCACACTAGTTCCTCCCTCCCCATCCTCCAATATCTCAGTGTCTTCACCTTTGACTCACCTGAGAAAACCAACACCTCTTTAATGATGAGAGCCCAAACATCTTTCCCTTTGAAAGTGAGTAGAATTTTTATTTCACTATTGTCTCGCCAAACTTGTTCACAGTTTTCTGCTTTTCTTATCTTAATATTTCTACCGTGCTTTAAAGTATTCTTCTGTCACTCTACAATGCATAAGCATGCCACAAGCAAACTACTTTATTCTTGGGAGTAACCACGGCACATTGCAGAGCCCAGTTAAGACAAATTCTCAGGGCCTGTGTCTTAAATCTCAAGTAACCATTCTTTTGCTTGTAAGTAAGAACAATCAGACTATGAACTACGCCTCGCAAGTAATGTCCTAAAGTAGGTCTCCAAACCCATGAACTTTGTGTTAACTCACAAAGCTAGCACCACCCAAGAAACACACCCCCACCCCGGGAAATACCTGAGGGAGCAAGTGTAAGTAATATGAACTTTGCCATCCACAGCTCTATAACTTGTCTGAGATTCTAATCACCCCCTCCTTTTTTCTTTTTAAATGGACTTTTACAAAGCTACTGACTTTCAATGTATTTCTTAACTCTTAGTAAAACTAATACACATCACTATTTTCACCCTCTGAATGTTTTTAAACACTGCTATCTTCTAGTTTTTGCTCCAACTTGAATTAGTAAGAAGATCTACTTATCTAAAAACATTACAGAGAGCCCCTGCAGGCAGCTTTTCAGATTGGGAAGACTAAAGTAAAACTCTGGGGTTTCAATCTTTTTTCCCAATTATCACACATTAACAGTTCTCACCAATCTGCCTCTGCTTCCCAAAAATCTTCCAGAATGAGGGTGATCAAGTGTCCCTGAGTAGCGCGTTGGAGATGACGTTGTAAGCTTCCAAGGAGTTTCACGGGTGTCCCTCTCTGCAATTCTCCAGTCTCTACTGGAACTATTCAATACACCGGATTCCTGAAGAACAACGTGATTATCATATGCATCTCGTAAGTTGAAAATAACTCAGTATCTGGTCTGAGTACTGAAAATACAGGGAAGTGGATGCAGTAGCAAATCTGGGAACATTTATTAAGAAACCTTGAGGGACAGCCAAGAAATGAAACAGGCTTACAGAGAACCACTGGCAAAAGGGAAGTTTTGTTATTCCGTTTTTTTAAGTACTTTATAGCAGCTCCTTCATCTGTCCTCTGTTTTGAACTAGGATAATAAAAAGTCAAAATGTAAGGCTTCTGAGGCATTGGGCCTGACTTAGGTACTGCAGCAACAGGGCAGAATTAAGGGCCTGATTTTCAAGTGTTATGCAAAAAACCCCACAGGTGTAGAAAGGGTCTAAAAAAGCACATCTGTGGCCACTAAAACAAGCTGAATTTCAATGAATAGGTTATAACTGAGGAAAGAGACTGCAATTTCATTTGCTCCATAGAATAATAACAGAGATTAGCAAAATTAACAGAAATAACAGAAATGCAATCATTTTATTAACACTAAGCAGCATTTTTGAGTGATTATTTGTCCATTCTCCTTCTATGAACTATGAGTACTACAAACACAGTAGTTGCTGTCACCATTTCTTAAAAGCAACAACCAAGCATTCTAAGCCAAACCAAAACAATACAAAAATCTCAGCTTGTTTTCTTCCCTCATTTCAGCTTCAGATTATTTAACATCCCTTGTCAGAATTTAACAATTAAAGCTCTACATAAGGTATTCTGGCTATGGTGTGTGTTTTCAGCAGCTGAAAAATGTTATCAGGAAAACATTCAAAACAATTTTATTAACTGCTCTTGACTCTATGCCTCCACTGCAAAAAAAAAAAAATAAACTCATAATTCATTTGTCATAAAATATTTACTATGTTGAATCGTAAAGAATATGATTTTCTTTCTCATACCATGACACTAATTCGATTTTTTTATTTTAAAGTTACCTGGCAACAACACTATATCCCATACATCTGATTAGTTTACAATTAACCTCTTCATTATGCCTCCTCAGATAAGCAGGGGCTAGTACCCAGATTGATCTCAAAAGTGCATGACGTACAATTCCATATGTACATGAAAAAAAAAACCCAACAAAACAACAAACCCATCCAATAGAAACCTTTCATATTTGCTAGCCCTAATCAAAACCAAATATAAATTTGACTGATCTGTCCCAGAAGTTTTTGAGTTAACTTATAATCAAGTGTTCTCTCTATAGAAATTCTGTATTAAAAATCCAAATCCTCCTTATACCTAAAGAATTACTGATAGTCCAAGTTTTTCTTCTAAATGACAAATGTTTAATTATTTGTAACTGAACTAGATCTTAAATATTTTTATGGTTGATTTCTTAATGGATTAACAAAGTGAAAATGCCTGTCCTTTGTATTCCTATCTGACTGGACTTAAACTTTCTTGCTCTGTAATCTTAACCTGCCAGCAATAAAGCAATTTGTTCCTTCCAGCTCTGTAAATACCAAAGGTTAGTCAAGAGAGGGAGCTTCCTACAGTTTTATCACTAAGCACCAGTGTTGAGTAATGAGTTCTCAGACTACCTTCTACAAACTGGGACTGGAAAAAAGGGATACAACATAATCTTTTATACAAATATTTTCCCTGCTGTTTTAACTGGCAAGTGTTATGAGATCATTCCTCAGCTCAGAATCACTTTGCTCAACAGGAAATAGTCAAAAGAATACACAGCGCAGTGAACACATTGCAATTCATGTAATAAATGAAATAATTAAAGATATGTTGAGTCAAAATCTTTTAACAGCACCAGTTCAGCTGAAGACTTCTGATCAATGGCTTTCAGTATACGTACACTGTGTGGACTGTGTCCACATATCTCTACAAAAGAGTAAGATTGTTCAATTTGCTTTTGCTGAGCAGTCAGACAGCAAAAAACATGCAGGACTCCAAAATACAAAAATTAGTGACAACTGCTTCCCCTTGTACATTCAGCCTATATATTGTAGCCTATATAACAACAAGCACATGCATGCTGAAGATAACAAAAATGTAACACACGCACAATTGTGCTAAAAATACTGTTCTACTACTTGTAAAACTGTTTCTCAAAAAGGCATTATATAATACAATGTCCCAGATAGCTTGCCAGCAGGGACCCAACTCCTAACCTTTTTTAAAAATATGAACATTTAATCACGGAGTTAAGTTTCTGCAATTTCAAAGACCAAAATGGGCTTACATTTCTGGGCCCAAAACTGAGGTGAGAACTGCTGACAGGAGCACAAAAAAAGTACTAAGATAATTGAGCGAAACTGCTATCTGTTGCTTCCAAGTATCAAAAATAATTTCTACAGTAGTTTTATCTCTGCTTCCCACAATACCCTCCCAAACTGCAAGTACCTGCACAGCATGAATACTTCCTCTTGAGAACAGCTACCCTTCCCCACAAAAGTAGTTTGGTTAGTATAAAATGCTGCTTGTGAAATGGCAAAAGGCCTTTTTTAAGTCCCATGTAGTGCACAGAAAGCCCAGCTGTACTAACAAACTGACGTGACAGGCTAACATGAGTGTCTGTTGGTTTTGCGCAGTGTGGCTTTTGATAGCTGCCAAAAACCTTGGGGGCCAGAGAGGTGGCTTCTGTAATTAGCTGCTGGAAGCTTCAACTATGCTTGGCAGAGCAAATCCCTGATGGCTCTGAAGATGGATGGGCTGCTGGTCAAGGCTAGGTCAATTAGAGATGGTAGTAACACCTCTTGTGATGACAGATTTCAGAAATCAAAACAAAAGAAGGGATGCAGTTTTAATTTCAGCCACAACAGATTAGAAGGTGAGAACATGTGAGGGAAAACAACACAGTGACACCAAGGTCAGTGGAGAAGGAGGGGGAGGAGGTGCACCAGAACCAAGATTGCTCTGCAGGCTGTGGTGAAGGTCATGGTGAAGCAGGCTGTCCTCCTGCAGCCCAAGGGTCCACTGGGAATGCAGAGATCCACTCGCAGCCCATGGGGGAGGTGCTCACACTGGAGCAGGCTGTGATTCAGGGGCAGACCCGATGGAGATGGAGGGCCCCTGCTCCCAGGCTGCAGCAGCCTGTCCTTGGAGGCGTTCATCCTGTGGAAGAGTGAGCCACGCCACAGCAGTTTTGGGAGGACTGCTGCTCATGAGAATGGACCCATGATGGAGAAGTTCAGAGAGAACTGTCTCCCATGGGAGGGACCCCTTGGCCTCAGAGGGGAAGGACTCTGGACCCTGAGCCAAGTGGAAGAAAACCTCGGGTGAGGAACTGACCAAAATCCCCATGCCCGGTCTCCATGCACAGTCACTGGGAAGGAGGGAGGGGCTGGGAGAAGCAAAGGTGGTTTTCAGGGATTATTTTACTTCTTATTATCCTCCTCTGATTCTGTTAGTAATAAATTAACTTTGTACCTTTAAGTTAAGGCTGTTTTGCCCTTGGAGTGTTTTGTCACAGTCCTTATCTCAACTCATGAACCCTTCATTAAGTTTTTCCCTCCTCTGCCCAGCTGCAGCAGGGGAGAGTGAGTGAGCAACTGTTGTGGGTGCCTGGCATTTGACCGGTGTCAAACCACAACAGAGTCTAAAGCTCATCTTCTTACCTTTTCAAAATATAAACACAGGAGGTGCTGCAGAACAGTATAGCCTTGATAACTGACAACATACTGTACTTTTTGCATCACCAACACATCAGGTGTAATGCCCTACATGCATCAAAGTTCAAACAAAACCCTCACGTCTCCCTCAACAAAAAACTCCATTTACCCAGATTTAGGATGGCAGTGGTTCATAAGAAAATAGATCCATATTATCAGAATGCCCTCTCATTTATTAAACAGCTGATTTCTAAGGGTGCAGCTACAAACAAGAGCAGGTAAAAGCAGAAAATCTAGAACTACCAGTTCACTGATTACTGTCACTGGACTGGTTAGTAAATTCTTGCATTTTAGAAATTTTTTTGGTCTAAGTTTTGGGGCTTTTCTTGGTTAAAAAAGACACTTTTAAAATTATTTATACTTTATGAAAAGGAAAAAGAAAATACATTACCTGGTATCCAGATTCTAATCTCCATGAAGATTCTCTTGTACTATATGCACCAGATAAACTGTTTCCAGTTCTAGATCCTACAGGAGAGCTGGAAGGCCGAAGAGATATCCTGCGAGGAATTCTTGAGGGTTTTGACTCCATCCTTTGTATCCTGTACAAGGACATATTGATCATTTTTTTCTCATGGAAGCAGGGAGCTCATGCAAAATAGGCACAGGTCATTCTGGGTGTAACATAAATATGACTCACACATACAAATATTTACACAGTGCTTTGGTCTGACTACATCAGCAAAATGGGGAAACAAGTTCTTATCCTAGTTTTTGTAACCTCTTCTTCACATCTCCTCCCATCCCTCATTAGAAAACTACAGTCCCTTTTATGATTTGGTTATGATATATTCTTGCAATTTTCAAGTGTAAGAGGTACTCCCTTAAAAACCACACAGCACTCATATTAACGCAAAATGAGTCAGGAACAGATTACTCATATTTCTCAATATATTACATTTTTGCTAATGAACTGCATCTCAACACTTGCAGAAATTATATTCAGATTTATTCCTCAGGGTTGAAATTATGAAACTTCACCCTCCTGTGAAAAAACACATCTGCATCTATCTGCCTTCAACTTCTACAAAGACAGCTCCCAGGGAAACTAACATAGGCAAAGGAGCACAGGTTATCTCACAAGTGTATTCATAAACTGACTTCTCACTTGCTGAGTGTTTATGTGCCTTTTGCTCTTTCTAGGCATTTCAAAAGAAATGCTGGTGCCTTTTCCACATGAGATGTGCTCCTATACTCATCCTTGCCCTTGAAACGGGATCTGACTTAATGTTTACCTAAAACTCAAGACAGCTAGTTTCTTCCTCCTCAGGATAGGAGAGACAGAAGCAGACCACAAACATTAGCTCTTAAAAAAATTTAAGGAAACTGCAGTATCCTCAATGGCGTGGTACATGAAAAATAGCATGACACATAACAAACAGATGGCAGAGAATCCCAGTGATACAGGGTGATTTGCCAAAGTGGTACAGTCTGTTTAACCACTTCTAATTCTGGCCTACCCTTCTGAGAACAGGAGTAAACTATATTGATTAAAAAAAAACCCCTATCCATCAACAAAGCACTCTTTTTTCCCACAATTCAGTCATGCCCATCAGTATCACATTCTGCAAAAAGCTGCTACATCAATCCTGACACACTTCATGTCTGGCTGCAGTTTCAAGGTGAGTCCACATACTCAGGACTTTTAATCTTTGCTCAAGTCACGCTGAATTAAATATTCTACCTGGTAAAAGCCAATTAGTTTGTACAGAACTCTACCGACCTAACAGTATGGACAGCTGAGGTTAGTTTCCTTAACCACTGCTCTCATGCATGTTTATTTGTTACCTAGCTATACAAGAGCAGCCAAAACGCTTAACATTGCAAGTAGGACTCTAAAGTATACCAGGTTTAAGTGACTGTTAACCTTTGTGCACAAAAGAGCTACTGGCCCATATTGCAGATTACATCTGCTTCTAGACCACCCTTCCAACAGCAATAACCTGTTTGTGTTTGCCAAAGCCATCACCAGGTAAACAAGATCTGGTTAAGAATCTAAAATGCTCACTTGCCCAACTTTGCATCAATATACTGAAATAATTAATTAAATTAATTTCCCCGATTACATTTAAAACCTTTGGTAAACATTCAGCAATTTATGCAATTCTCAAGTTGTAAGCACATCTGTATCAATAAGAATGTTCTAAGCAGTAGTCCAGAGTTCAAAAAAAACCAGTTAATTGTGGAAGTTTAAAAGAAATTAATTACAAGCCTAATTATCTAAACTACACCACTTCAAGTGGATCATAGTTCAGTAAAACATAACAATCATATTTATTCTCAAACCGTAATGATAGTTAATTTATCCTTCAGAGTAATCTGCCGTGATGTGCTCTACAAGTTTAGTACTAGTATGAAGCTGCAAAGAGTGTAAAAAAGTAACTATCAAAGCTGCAAACTATAAAACTAAAATATCACAATAATATAGACTAGTGTAGGCTAGACAGGACAGCCGTACGTCTTGATGAGATCTGACAGTCAAAGCACTGTTCGTCTGTGTTTTAACCTGATATAAAATACAACGAACAAACACACAAAATAATGGATCCAAGTCTGCACTATTAAGTACTCAACAAAGAGTGCTGGCATTATCTCCTCTATTATGGATCATTCTGTTTCTGAATTATTTTGTTTCAGATAGGTGTGGAACCAGATGAATTAAATAGCACAGATAAAAGTCAGACACGGACATACATGAAAAATGCAAGGGTTCTAGAAGGAATGGAAGTTCTCATTAGTAGGAATTAATGTCCAGATGAGTCAGCAGAGTAGACAGAAGCGTAAGACAACTTCAAAGACTAAATTATAAATCATCTAATACTAATAAAATTGCTTATGCACCATCCACAGAACAGATTAAGAGCATTCAGACAGAACAGGATGGGGTGGAAGACTGGACACCAGAGCCAACTACCTGCTAAAGATGAAATGGAGTCCAAAATTAGCAAATTCCTTCTACAGATGTACATAAGTAGGCACAAGACTAATTTTCTCCTTCAATGGTAGCCCCAAGAGGATAGACAATGTTACTCATCAGCCTAATCTTGTAAATTAGCACAGGTCGTGATTTCAATCCAAGTATGTCAGGATAATACTACCTGTAGAGTATTTCCTTTCTACAAGTAAAGAAATCATGCAGAAACTATACCCAAAAAAAGGTGTTTAAACCAACTTTAGGCAGCACAATAGGAAAGGCAAAATTTATTGCGCCAGTTTATGTATACAAATTGTGATTAATTTCCTGCGTACAACCTTAATTTTTTTCTGCAGTCTTTGCTTCAGCCAGCAAACAAGAAGGATCTGCTATAAAGATCAATCAGAGTAACATAAGAATAAGCATTTTATATCCACCACGTCTGATGCAGAAGTGAAAAGATGCTGAATAAAAGGCCTTATGATCTAGGCAAAGAACTTCAGGTCAAGGAGATCAGACTTTACCTTTCCCTTTCAATAAAGATTTGGTGACATAAAGCATGTTCTTGAGATGGGTAATTTTTAAAAATCTGCTGCCCAAGAGCTCTTCAATTTCTGGGCATCAATTATAAAATTTATTTGCAATCCAACTAGCAGAAATCATAGAATAGTTTGAACTGGAAAGGATATTTCAAGGCCATCTAGTCCAACCACCCTGCAATAAGCAGGGACATCTTCAATGAGATCACATGGCTCAGAGTCCCATCCCACCCGACCTTCCATGTTTCCAGGAACAGACCATCCACCACCTCTCTGGGCAATCTGTGCCCATGGTTCACTATGCTCATCATACAAAATGCCTTCCTTTAATTCACTCCTTGTCCTATCACAACAGGCTGTACTAAATGTCTGTCCCCATCTTTCTTACAGACCCTTTTTAAGTACTGAAAGGCCGCAATGAGGTTTCCCCAGAGGCTTCTCTTCTCCTGGCAAAACAACCCAAATTATTTCAGCCTTTCCTCACAGTCTTACCCAGATGAACAGAGATGCAGCTGAAGTCAACGGAGCCACGATGTCCATTTACTAGACAGACAAAACTAGATCTAGGCACTTCACCTCTAGTGATCAACACTAGTAAGATGTCTTTTGGGTCTTGGAACTTTTTCCCCAGAGTTCTCCGAATACCATTTTAGGCACTGTACCTCGAAAGCCTGAGATGCAACTGTCTTCATAGGTGGTTTGAATACAAACAAAACACATACAAGGCTTGTGCTGATCATAGCAACACAATGAGGTGGTTATAAATAATGTGAGCATGCTAAGCTATCACAGAGCACAGGACAGAGCAATACAATGCTCTCATGCTAAAAAAACAACCACACTATTAAAACCACAACAATACTTGTCTGCAAGGGGAATATGGAGCTTGTATACAATATTTCAGAATGAGAATGGTTTCATTTTATGGTATCATTATCTTAAGGGTTTTCCTGAAGAAAAACACTCAAAACCTCAAACATTTTGTTTACAGACATAGGAATTCAACAAACCCCAAGTGGTAATTAACATGCTGTAGCAAGTTCTGTAATGACAAAGTAGATACCTCAATTTATGCAGAAGGTAGTGAGACCAAAAAATACTTAAATGTCTTCTCTGAGGAAACAATAACAATTATCATGGAACCAGAAACTGGGTTATAGTCTGAACTGATTAAAAAGCCTGTTGTTGCCAAAAAGCAAAGGAATACCTTACTCAAATATCACACCTGATGTGCCCTTCATTGAGAACTCTCAACACATCAACCAGTAAAAATGCACTTCTGGCTTCTCTATTATTTTAACACTATTCACACTCATACTCAACAATAGAAAAATGAGAACATGTACAGCAGGATGAGCAGCACTCTTCTTATCAAAACAATGTATTTCACCAGCTTATGCCATGTTACACTACTCAGCAATCAAAACCTCATGAAAAAAATTGACACAATTCTAGATCCTCCTGAAATAAGGGACATATGCAATACCTCTCAAAACTTGGTCAGAAATCAAGTTCTGAAATAAAACTTGTTAGTCATACCTGAGAAACACATGGCCAACTTGAAAAAGGAGGTGGAGCTGCACAGCCTATTTTGAGCACACAGATCAAATGTCCTGCCTTCTTTGATCTGTCATCCCTCAAACAGCCTTGTAAAAGACGAACTAGACCTAACACAGCCACCGATGATAAAAGATCCAAGCAGTCTTTGAGAGAAAGCAATGCAATCTCAAAAGACAAAACCAGTTACTATCCTTAACTGTCCATTTTTATACCCCTTCACAAAAAGGGATTGACAAAACACAGAGAGCAAATATTTCTCTTCTGCCTTAACCCTCTCTATCAATAAAAGAGGAGCAATTTCAGATAATCACGTCTAAGAGTAAGTGAAGTGTTTGCCAGCTTCCATGATTACTACCAGTTTTAAGCAATCTTGTACCCTCCATCAGAGGGAAGCATAAGCTTCACTGCCTGCTCCTAAATTCATTCTTCTAGCTTGGAACTATGCACTGACACTTCTACCTAAGACTCGAGCTCTCATATCTACATGTTTTTGTGCGGTTTAAAATAAAACGATTCGTAAGATTTTCTC